TATCTCTTTCCAAGGGGAATTGGAGATGGGTAATAAATGCTGATCTGGCCAGCGACAGCTATCTCCTTTTTTTTTTAAAAGAAAGATCATTGAGTGTCCGGCTAGAAAAGCAGCAATTCCAATGAAGTGTAAATGAGTGTGGACAGAGTAGATCAAACGGCCTTATTTTTGTGTGCTGTAATCTAGCCAACTCCATTCATGTCTGTGTAAACCTGTTATTTACACTGACTTGTCTGACTGGGGTAGTGTCCCCAACTCTGGGTCAGAAGGCATGGTAAAAGTGCCAGTCTCTTTAAAGGTATGTCATAAAACACCTGAACAAATGGATTGAGAAGCCCTCAGGTTGTAAGGAACAGTCAGGTGAAGCAGCAGTCAACAATGTCCCTAAAATAGAGCGCACAGCAGTCACTAAATTGCGTTTGCTTGTGACGCATCTATCTAAGGCAACATGATTACACTTGAACTTGAACCAACAAAACAAATTAATTACCTCCAGAAAGCTTCACTAAAGCTGTTGCTTCAACTTCAGTGAGTTGAAGTTTGCAGACAGTTAATAGGAACTTTTTAAAAACAAAAGTTATCATTTTACATTTTTCTATCCCACCAACTTATGTTCAGAACATATCAGTGTCTTCAAATCCTGTTCAAGAAAAATAAATGATTAGTAATTTACAGATAACTGTTGTATCCAAAGGAAATGATTGCAGAATATAGTTTCAGCGTAGCACAAACTACCCGAAAGTGCACGTGTGGTTGTCTTGGGATGCTGAATGGAAAGCGGTCAAAGGTTTGTGATTGAATTCAGTCAGTCCTCATCAGTCAACCTGGACATGATCTCTCTCGTCTGCAAGTTGGTCTTTCCCTCCCATTTGCACATAAGCTGGCTCTATCCTGTCCACGTTTTCTTTCCACCAGTTTATATTAGAAATTACTTTAGGGCACACACATTTAAGCTTCATCCCAAGCACGGAATACTATAGGTCGATAACGTTACATTACAACGCTTGTACCTGTTGCGGTAAAAGCTACTTTTGCATTTCTTTAACTTTTCTTGTGTAAAAGTTTTGATTCATGATAAACTTTTCTCGCAGGTAGATTTTATTTAGACTTCCATTACCTCTTTTTCCAAAAATTGCTTTGTAACTGCCCCCATCCCATTAATTTTGAGATGAATTATTTCCCACCTAACTTTCGCCAAGTTCTTTATTTTAAAATTGGTCATGAACTACTGAAATATCTAGAGATAACCTTAAATATGCAACCAGTTGCTGAATTTGTTATCTCACCTGGCTTTTTAACTTTGCTTGCAGTATCGTACTATCAATCATCGAGTAGATTCACGGTCCTTACGGCTTTATCGGTGGTACTACTCTGACGCTTATCAGTGGTAAGACCTGGACTATCAAGAGACTGTCTTCCATTAACCACTGAAGTATTATGGCACAGGAGGTGGCCAATGTCTACATTGGAGAATTCTCGCCAAAACTGGATGCTGCTTGTGCATATATGACCATGCTGTGCTTTTACTCTTGTGACCACCTATTGGTGGACTGTAATTGTTAGCATTTTTAAACTTAACTGTGTTCTCCTCATCTATCTAAGGAAACATGTATGGATGTTCAAAAGGTACTTAAGTTTTCTGCATTGTGAAGAGCTTTTTAGAAAATGTAGGCCTGTGGGTGTAAAATTGAATAGAACAATGTGGATAAAGAAAATATTTGGACAAGAAATACATAGTTGGGGAAAATGTGTTGTACGAATAGGTGAAAGGTTGGAAGTAATGTGCCTCCAAGCAAATAGTCTGTTTCTATGTTGTGCATTTGAGTAATTTGTGCTTTCTGCATTCAATTCAAGCTTTGAATACTCACTAAATTAAATGTAATGGTTTAGCAAGTAGTTAAGGCTTTGAAGACACAGCATTTATTGAAACAGGCTGATATCATTGAGAGTGTCAGTTTTTTTGCTCTTGTACTTCACAAAAGCAAGAGGCTAAATTGCAGCTTTGCCTCCCTCTAGTTTTTTAACACAATTCTTGGATCTCTCTCATTCTCAGGGTTTTGAATGCTGCTATCTTTGTGATTTTGGCCTTGGCCTTTATTGAGAAACCTTCATCTTTGAGTGTTACATCTGATCTCCGATTCCGCCGTGTACTTTGGGAGCCTCCCTGTGGACTGACGGAAGGCATTGATGTATTTTGTCTTCTTCTGTTCATTGTTGATGTAGTGATAAAAGTAAGTGTTTTAGTTTACTTTTTTTGCCCAATGCCCTTCCTGAAATCTGAAAGACCAGGTGTTGTTTTTGGTCATTATCTTGGATTTAGTGTGCTTGCAGGATTTTAAATTGTGTATCTGGCTAAAATGCAGCCAGACTGGAGCATAAGTTAGGATTATCTTTTTCATACAACAGAGTGCTGTTGAGTCCAATGCATTTTCAGTGCTTCTGACAAGGTTTCCAAAAAATGTTCTCTCAAACTTCTTTGTTCTTTATGGAGAGGCAATGGCCTAATGGTATTAATGCTACATTATTAATCCAGAAACTCTGCTAATGTTCTGGGATCTCGGGTTCAAACCCTGCTGTGACAGATGGTGGAATTTGAATTCAACTTTTAGAAAAAGTTTGGCATTAAGAATCTACTGATGACTATGAAACCATTTTCGATTGTCAGAAAAACCCATCTAGTTTACTCATGTCCTTCAGGGAAGGAAATCTGCCTGGCCTGTCCTATGTGACTCCAGACCCACAGAAATGTGGTTGACTCTCTTGCCTGCCCTGTGAAATGGTGTGGAAAGCCATTCAGTTACTAGGGTTGGGCAATGCATACTGTCCAGCCAGTGATGCCCAGTCTCTCAATGAATGGAAGTAAAAGATGAACAGTGGATTAGTGCTTGAAGTTAAACTTCAGTCTGCCCTTTTATTGTCAAGGGCTGGAGTGGGTTCAGGAATTGTGGGCAGACCCAAAACCAGTTGCCTCTTTCCAAAAAAAGGCTAAATGGTAGGTCCTGGGGAACTTGATGTCTGAACATGGACTGTTTGTGGAGACTCTTTAACCCTGATTTCATGTGGCACTATTTCTAGCAGGCATAAACTCTGTTCAAAGTTCGTCCTGTTTAGTGTCAAAGCACTCCATCACCTCATACCCTGGCTCTGCACTGACGTGGAGCCAGGATTGGGACTGGGGTAAGAGATGGATAGGAGAAGCTGTGTGAGCAGTCTTTGTTTCAGGCAAGGGAAACCCAAAACTAAATATGGTAAATACATTTTACACTCGAGCATTGAACTGAATGCATCCCATGAGGGATATCTCTTCATTTTGTGTTTGAAGCTTCATTACAAAATGGGTAAAGCTGCTATTTTAAATTTGGTGAGTGGTATATGCTTTTGTCACTGGCTGAAAGATTTGCATCGTAACCTCAATGTGCTCCCATGATCTATTGCAAAAGAGATGCCTCCTAGTTTGGGCCTGCTCCTCTGCTGCTTGGCCTGCTGTGTTCATCCAGCTCTACACCTTGTTATCTCTGGCCTCCTAGTTTGGTTCTTCTGAAGCAACTGGAGCATAGGTTGCCATCCACTATTGCATCTGATACTATGCTACTGTCTTTTTAGCACCAATTAGTGATGTGGTTTTGCTTGTTTTAGAGTTTTATCAACTGCGCTGTGCTTCATCTAAAGCATCGCTATAGCAAGTGTGGTGTGAAAATTCTTGTCCTAAACTTGATTCATAGGATTGCAAAAAAAACTACTACCTCCTTTCCAGCATCAAGGTGGTTTGCAGGGCATGTCTGTGTACACATTTATTAGCTCACCTTGCCTCCTGGACATAATCTGTATTGATTTTTGTTTCAAAATGGCATTTTTATACAGAGCTATTTAATTGGATGGGAAGAATTCCAGAAGTCAAAATGGCTGATTGCCTACGCACTTATACTTGCTGCTTCCATCGTGGACTGGACTGTTACTTTGTGTTTATTTTGTGAGGAGGTAAGTTATAAATTATTGAAAGTAACCTAATGTATTGTTTTCTTTCTTTAATGGCTTTTGTAAAGCTGGTGCAAGAAAGTGAAAATATGGGACAAAAACAAATTGCTGGAAAATCTCAGCAGGTCTCATTGGACCCAAAACGTTCACTCTGCTTTCTGTCCACAAATTTTTTTCTTATTTACTCACAGGATGAGGGCATTGCTTTTTAGGCAGCATTTACTGTCCATCACAGTTGCCCAGGGGGCAGTTGAGAGTCAACCGTAGGCCAGACCTGCTAAGGATGGCAGCTTCCTTCCCTGAAGGATGTTAAATGCTGCCAGACCAGCTGAGATGTTCCAGCAATTTGTCTTTGTTTCAGATTTTGTGTCCGCAGTTCTCCTGGTATTCTGTCAAGTGTAAATATGACTACATCTATGTAATCCAAAGCCTAATGTAGTACATCAGTGTATTTCAATGGTGTAGTAAAATCATGTCATGCTACACTGCAGAATTTTTTCAGTGTGTGAATGACCAGTCCAATGGGCAGAAGGTTAGGAGATTATAATGAAACACAGAAATTTAATGAGGCAAATTTTCAGCATTTGAAAAAAATCTGACTTTCTTCGGGTTATAAAAGCTATATGGGAGTCATGATAGTAAGTGGCAAAGGCTCTATTTGCACATTATGGACCAGTCCAAGCCCTCTTCAAACAAATCAAGGAGGTGGCCTAGACCTGAACTTGCCTTTAAAGGCAAATCTAAGATGCTGTGTTCCAGATGTAATTTGATTTACACTACTCAGCTTCAAGCGAAACACACTTTATTCTTGCCCTACAACTAAAATATAAACCAAAGAAAGGAGAATTAGTACAACCTTAACTCTATATGGGGAAAATTTAACAGAATAGATTATTTAACTCCGAAACAGCACCTCTTACAATACTGTAACATCCCACAAACACCTTTTTTAGCAAAGGCAACATCAGTAAGATGGATTGTTTCATAAACTATTCTGGCAGAGAGTGAGAACTGAGCTCTTAGCTGTAGCACAGATGAATAACGGCTTCCACAGCCAATGCTAGAACCTCAACAGTCAGTGAAAGCTAAACTAAGGTTCTGGTTCTGTGGGAGTCTGATTCATGATGCTTCAATTGTTCCAACTTAAAATAAAAACCCAAGGTCTCACAAGCTGTTACTTTATTGGCTTGGAACAGACTGCTTATCAGCTATGGCTCTCAAATCTCCCTTTTTTAAAAAAAAAGAAATGGACAAAATACATGTCTTAAAGCTATAGTATTGTGACAATATGCTAACATTTAATTATGTAAAATGTGGCAAGAATAGCTAATAAAGGTTGCTAAACAACTGCATGTGATGCAGTGATAATGTTCTTAATCTTCTGTGTGACCTGTGTTTAAGTCCTACCTGCTGCACGTGTGTCATAAGTTGTTTTAAAAAAAAAAAAACTATTTATCCTCATTGTTCTTCTCCCAGTTGCTAGTGAAACTAGATGGTGCTAACTCCTTGAAACTGAGTGCTACCTGGTTGCTTTGGCTTGCTGATGTTGTCTTTGGGCCTCCATCTAATTTCCTGCAGGGATGGGATCTACCTGTGGGTAATCTAAGGCCTTTCATGGGACATTTCCTTCAATCAGTACTCGAGATTCAACATTCAACACGTTGCATGAAATGCATTTGCAGTTTTGTATTGACCAAAACTGTAGATTGGGGTTCCTGACCACAAACCATCCTGACCCTGCCATTGGTTATTACAACTGATCCTTGTGATCTCTGTAAAGCAGCAGTGATCACAGGTAATCTTTAAAATGCCAACTATGATTGACAATTCCCAAACATATTCCAGAGATATTATAGGCTACACTCTTGTGTAGCCTTTCATTAGTGAACTGTAAATTTGTCATAACATGTTGTTGTATGAAATGCTGTGTTTCTTGGGTAATGGGGTTACTGTATGCAAGACATAAGCAATACCACAGTGCTTCTAATCTTGTGTCTTTGTGTGACACAGCTTGTGCTCTAGACATCTGAATAAGTCTACTATGTCAGATCCATTTCAAGGTATTGCACAGCCCTTCATTGCCTATTATTTCAAAGTCATTAATATTTCCCTTTTTGTCTGCTGCGACTGCTGACTAGTCAATTTATCAAAAACCCGTTTCTTTATATTCCTTACATGTATTGGAACCATTTCTGAATGGATCCAGGCACTGCAGGTGTTATTGTTGTGGATGCTATGCAACAATGGTGTAGAGAGAGTGAGGAAGTACAAAGCCACAACAATCTCTACTGACCACAGAACAGCCTTCATGTAATATCCTTGCAAAGGTCCCCATAGGGTGTAGAAGTCATTGCAGAGGCTAAGAATTTACAGACCTCAACCATTTGTTCCAGATAAGCCAAATCTAATGCCATTGTCAGATGAGGATGCTGTGAGATATCTCGAGTCCTGCAAAGGTCTGAAGAAATAGGTGTCCATCCTATCCCAGTGGTCACCAGGTTGACAGCACACTTCTTAGAATTTGAGTTGCATTAAAAATAACGTCACTAGGAACCTTTTGAGTGAACTCCATCATCCAGCCAAAACGTTTTGATACTGTTACTGATGCCAGTGTGCCAGACAATGCTGTCTTACTCCTTTCTGTGAGAAAGGCAGTAAGCTTTGCCAGTATAGCTGGCTTCCTCCAAGTGCGGGGCATGAGAGAGTTCAGCTCAAGATGAGGTTCCAGTGCTTGGTTAGATTTGGTGGGAATGGAAAGAGGCCTTGCAGTATGCTCCAGTGTGTGCATAGCCCTGGTATCCCACTCTTGTCGCTATGGGGCGGCACAGTGGCTGTGGTTAGCACTGCTGTCTCAGCGCCAGGGATCCAGGCTCAATTCCAGCCTTGGGTAATTCTGTGTGGAGTTTGCGATTTGTCCCCGTGTCTGTGTGGGTTTCCTCTGGGTGCTCTGGTTTTCTCCCACATTCCAAAGATGTGCAAGCTAGGTGGATTGGCCATGCTAAATTGCCCATAGTGTTCAGGGATGAGTAGATTAGGTGGGGTTCAGGGTGATGGGTCTGGGTGGGATGCTCTGAGGGTTGGTGTGGACTTGTTGGGCCAAAGGGCCTGTTTCCACATTGTAGGGATTCTGAATTCTGAATACCATGCTTTGCACTACTAGGACAAGTAAAGAGGGGAGCTGAGAGCAGTTGTGCTCAAGCATGAGTCTTGCTGGGAATTGGCTGCAGGAACTGAGGAAGAAAACCGATACTGGCGCTTGTTTATGTGGCGAGTCAATATCCTTGTGGTATTGCTGGATGTTCCTCTGTACTTGAATACCTTAACTGACCCAGTTGGCGACTTCAGACTAGACTTGCGACGTCTTGTGTTGCAGTCTTTGATGATCCATGGGGTCCATCAGACTAGTCTCTCCTCTCAAGCACCAGGACCTCCAGATCCTTGTCAGTGAAGCTTGTCAGCTTGTCTCTGTCAGCAAGACATTAGGGACAGTTCCTGGCCTGCAGCACTCTGAAGTGGTGTGCAGCCAGGGTTCATGTATGGTGTCTGCAGTACGAATGATGGAAAGTGCCAATATTAACTAGTGTCTGACACTGGTGAGCACAAGATTGCCATGCCACAGGCCTGTTAGCTGTGTGCATAAATATTGAGGTAAGTAGCAGAAAGTTGGAAAAACCCTCCATGAAACTCCCAAAATTGACATCTGTCAAAATGTGGGAAAATTCAGCGTGTTCCAGATTTTGCCTCCTGTTCATGTCTTTTTATTTACATTCTATTTGTGATGGGAAGGTTATCGCACTTAATGTGGTTACGATTGTTAAAAGAATAATCACATCTTTGTGACTGACACCACTTTTGGCTGGGCCAGTTACAAAATGTTGTGGTGACAATTTCTCACCTGCCCCTTTCACAAAGTCAGCTTCTCTATTGCCTCAGTATCCTAAAACATCCAGTTAGCATTTTTGTAGTTTTGAAGGAGATTTGTGACATGAGTACCTAGCTTTCTTGACAATACTTTCAGCTGGATTTGTCAACTTAGTTCTACTTTTGTAACGTTGAAGTATTCTTTGTTGCAGAGCAAGTTGTAAAGTTGCATATAGTATGTCGTCTATTATAAAGGTATTTGAATTTCACTGAGCTTGAAACAAAATGTTTTCTGTATTTTGCTCATGATTTTCTTTTTATTTGTTGAAGAGGATAAGAATTAGAAGACTCTTGCGGCCATTTTTCCTTCTCCAAAACTCCTCCCTTATGAAAAAAGCTTTTAAATGCCTACGACAAACAATACCACAAATCACAAGGTAAAAACTTAAGATGCTTAAGCTGCTCTTCCTCCCATTTTTATATAACACAACAAAAGCTGAATTTGTTTGTGTTCTTGAAAATCTTTATACTCCTGTAAGGTTTCTGTATAAATGCTGATCTGGTTATGCCCCTTTTTTATTAACGTGACAAAATCAAACCTCTTTTAAACACTGCAACCAACATTTCTCCCAAAACAGTTCACTTGTAGATCATTATCAGACTGTGCAGTGTTAAATTGCTTTTTTGAATGTGCATTGAAATGTTTGTTCTGATGTAGACTGATTTTTATTTTCATGGAAAAAACAATCCAAAAGCAATGCATTGTAAGTTTGAATTAGTTATATATGGATTTTTCTGCCCGAGTTTAATGATTATGGGTATTTCTGTAGCTATGATTTCTTTTAAAACCTTTCATTAGCTCCCATGACAAATGGGTTTTTGTTTACAATGGAGGGTTTGTGATCAAGCAAGGTCAATAATTGTGCATCAATAGTTGTTTTTGTGAAAAACAATTCTGGAGCTTTCTAAGCCTCAAGGAAACACCTGTGGTTCAGGGGATAAGATTTTTTATTTTCTGTTTCTGGCAGTTCAGTAGAAGTCCTTCAATGAACAAAGCAATACTACTGACAAGACAGAAAAAACCTAGCTGATCTTAGGATAAGGTGTTTAGTAGTAATTTCAGACCCCAGAAGTGTTTGGATAAAACTCTCTCAAATGATTTTTGAAGCTGTGTTTTAAACCTGGGTGTATGATGGCTCTGGAGAAAATTTCAGATTTTCCAGATTGGGAGCTTAAGTCACAGTTAACTTAAGCCTAGTAAGGTGTAAAGAAGCAATGAGTCCTGTACAAGATGTTTTTTTTGGATCTGTGAAGGAGTGTTTAAGGATTAGTAGGATTGTTTGTTTCAGAATCTCAAAGGTTTATGATGTCTAAATTTTTGCTGTATTTTATTTTATTTCTTTTGCTTAATAAACTTTTAGTTTCATTGTTAAAACCAAATCTGCAATATTCTGCTTGTGTTCTAGTGAAAGCTCACTCCATCACATCTGTTTTTCTGGTTTTACCAAGCCATAATTCAGTCTGGGATCTGACATGTCCAGTACTGACGTCAGTTGGAATCAAAATGCTGTCAGTTTCTGAATTTGCAGAAGTAAATCATGACAGGACTCGTGGGGCTTTGCAGGATAAAAGTACTGGATGTGCATTTTTGGGCAAGAACTTGACAGCTAATGTTCGTTATTTAATAATTGAGGATTTTGTCTTAGAACACATTGCACGTTTGCAAGAGGCAAAACAGCAGTCAGTACAAACTGCCTGGTTTGTTAGAAAAGAGATTACTTTAAGAATATAAATAAAAATTTTCATACTGTTCTACCTCAATCCAAATCTTTTATTCTGAAACGAACCAACATTTTTTTTTTGTAAACTGGATCCATTGAGAGGTCCCAAGTATTTATTAGGAACCAAGTTGCAGGATTCCAGCATTCTGAACAAGTAATAAACATTGCATTACTGTTGTAACTTTGAATATCTATCTACAATATGTAATTTTAATATGCAGAATTAGGTGATGTAGTGGCACATCAAATTGTAACTGGTCAAGACAGGTCCCACAAATTTACTGTTAGTGATGCTGGGACATCAAAGCTCTCAACCTTTACAAAGATTTCCAATTGTTCTCCTCTTTTAAAAAGACCTAGTCTAAGAAACTCTTTAAACACTCTACCACAGACTTTATCAATGAATGACTGTTCAAGTTCTAACTTGTCACCTTTTCATAGACACCTAGCTGCTTCATCACACAACTGGTACTGTCCCTGGGTTTCTCTGAATGCTAACATTTCTCAGCTGCATAAAGCAAATATTACTTGTGACATACTTCACCCCACTTTGTGCAGTTTTGATCTATCAATTGCTTACTGGCTTCTTTCATACCCTCTGGCCCCCAGAAATTTTTTCCCAGAGGCTTAACTGTACCAAACTATCAAACAGCTCCTGGAATTTATTCCCGAGCCTGAACTACCCAGAACTTGTATCCTTCACAAACAAAAACAGAAGTTGCTGGAAAAGTTCAGCAGGTCTCGCAGCATGTGTGAAGAAAAATCTGTTAACGCTTCAGATCTAGTGACTCTTCCTCAGAACAAGTATCCTTCAGTTGTGCTCTCAGCATGGCCAAGAGCCCCTGTTGAGTAGCTGTTGAACTGAACTGTTCTGCGTAACTTTCTAAAAATCTTAGAACAAGCCCTGCTCTTAGTAAGTAAAACCTAATGTAGCAACTAGCTTTACAACTCCAGGGTGGCTAATATTGAAATACTGAGTTGCCTGGATGTTACATTAGTCACATTGTTGACTGACAGTCTAAATGTATTGAACAAAAAAAGGGTGGGGGCGGGGGAGCTGGGGTAGATTTGAACTGTTAAAACTAGGTTGTTAATGCACTGTTTTTTTCACTATTACATTTGAACAGTGTAATGCTGCTGTTAGCCTTGCACCTGTTGCTGTTTACTATGATTGCCATGCTGCTGTTCACTCGTGTACAGGTAAAGTGACTTTGATTTTATCACGAACCTGTCATTAAAATGTATGCAAAGGGTAATCTTTAAGAGAAAAAACCTGGACACATACAAATTGTTCAGTTCTCATTTCAAGAACAAAGACTAATTGATTGGGATTTTGTAGCTGTTTTTAATCAAACATGTGCACATGCCTGATTTTAGTTGTTGTAATGTTATTGAATGTTCCCTGCTGAAATATTTAAAAAAAATCTGTAAAGTTGTATCGGGCACCTATTGTACTTAATTCTGCCTTCTCTTTCTGTACTAATTTCGTGCTTCTTTCTTTTTGCGGCTCACTCCACAGTTACCCTTGTAAAACCTGCTGCAGTGCGCATTTATGCTCCTGGTGCATTCAAACTGTGTCCCAACATAGAAGCATAGAAGATAGGAGCAGGACGAGGCCATTTGGCTCTTTGAGCCTGCTCTGCCATTCTCCGCGATCATGGCTGATCGTCCAACTCAATAGCCTAATCCTGCTTTCTCCCTGTAACTTTTGATCCCATTCATCCCAAGTGCTATATCTAGTTGCCTGTTGAATACATCCAATGTTTTGGCATCAGCTACTTCCTGTGGTAATGAATTCCACAGGCTCCCCACTCCTTGGGTGAAGAAATGTCTCCTTGTCTCTGTCCTACATGGTCTACCCCAAATCCTCATACTGTGACCCTGGTTCTGGACACGCACCATCGGGAACATCCTCCATGCATTTACCCTGTCTAGTGCTGTCAGACTTCTATAAATCTGAGATCCCTCCCTCCATCTGAAGTCTAGCAAAAACCATCCTAACCTAATCAATCTCCCCTCATACATCAGACCCACCATCCCCGGAATCAGCCTGGTAAACCTTTGCTGCACTGCCTGGAGAGCAAGAGCATCCTTCCTCGGAAAAGGAGACCAAAACTGCACACTATCTTCTAGGTGTGGCCTCACCAAGGCCCTGTATAACTGCACCAACATACCCCTGCTCCTGTACTGAACCTCTCTCAATAAAGGCCAACATGCCACTTGCCCTCTTTACCATCTGCTGCACCTGTATGATTACCTTCAGCAACTGGTGTACGAGAACACCCAGGTCCCACTGCACACTCCCCCTCCCAATTTACAGCCATTCAGATAGTAAGCTGCCTTGTTTTTGCTTCGAGTGAATAACCTCACATTTATCCAAATTATACTGCATCTGCCATTGATTTGCCCACTCACCCAACCTGTCCAGATCATGCTGAAGAATCTTTGCATCCTTGTCATAGTTCACCCTCCCACCCAACTTGGTATCACTTACAAACTTGGTGTTACACTTTGTTCTCTCATCCACATTGTTAATGTTATGGGTAGCTGGGGATCCCAGCATCGATCCCTGTGGCACCCTACTAGTTACTGCCTGCCAATTTTGAAAAGGACCCAATAATTCCTTCTGTTTCCTCACTGCCAACCAGTTTCTTATCCATCAATAAATTGCCCCCCCCAATCCCATGTGCTTTAATCTTGCACATTAATCTCTTACGTGGGGCTTTGTCAAACACTTTGAAAGTCTAAATATACCACATTGACTGGAGCCCCCTAGTGAACTCTACTAGTCACATCTTCATAGAATTCCAACAGATTTGTCAAGTGTGATTTCCCCTTAAATCCATTCTGACTCTCTGATCCTGCCACTGCTTTCTAAATACTCTGCTATACAAATTCTTGACAATGGATATGAGCATTTTCCCCTCTAATGTTGGGCTCACCAGTCTAATTCCTTGTTTTCTCTACCTCCCTTTTTTGAATATTGAGGGGACATTAGCCACCCTCTAATCTGCAGGGACTGTTCTAGAGTCTATAAAAATCCTGGAAGATGACCATGCTTCTACTGTTTCTCGAACCACTTAAGTACTCTGGGATGTAGATTATCAGACCCTGGGGATTTGTTGGCCTTCGATCCCAACCATCTTCCGCAGCCCCCCACCCAACCCCACACCATTTCTTTACTAACATTGATCTCCCTCAGTTCTTCCTTCTCTAAATCATGCATTCTCCAACAATTCTGGTATGTGATTTGTCCTCTTCTGAAGACAGAACCAAAGCATGTGTTCAGTTGCTCAGCCATTTCTTTGTCCTGTATTATACATTCCCCCACTTTGTCTGTAGGGGACCTACATTTGTCTTTACTAATCTTTCTCCTCCTGTACCTAAGGACTGACACACAGTTTCTATATGTTCCCTGCAAGCTTGCTTTTGTACTTTTTTTTTCCCCTTCTTAATCAATCCCTTGGTCCTTTGCTGAATTCTAAACTGTTCCTGTTCCTCAGATTTGTTATTTTTTTTTGTGGCCAATCTGTATGCTTTTTGCTTGGATTGGATACTATCTCTAATTTCCTTTTTGTGAGCCATGGATTGGCCCTATTATCCATTTTGCTTTTGCGACAGGCAGGAATAAACAGTTGCTGCAGTTTCCCCTGTGCGTCCTTTGAATGTTTGGCATTGTCTGTCCACTGTCATCCCTTTGAATAACTCTCCCCAATCTATCATGGTCAACTCACTCCTCATCCTCTTAGTTTCCTTTTATTAAGGTTCTGCACTCTAGTCGCTGAATCAAGAACCTTATTCTCAATCTTGATTTTAAAATGTTCTGGTTGCTGTTCCAAAGCGGGGGTCTCAACGAGATTGCCAATGATTCCCCCTCATTACATAGCACCCAGTCTAAGATTTCCTGCTCACGAGTTGGTTCCTCCTCATATTGGTCAAGAAAACCATCCGTATGTACTCCAGGAATTCCTCCTCTACAGCATTGTGGCTAACTTGATTTACCCAATCTATATGCAGATTAAAATCACCCCATGATCACTGATATTCTAATCCCCTGCATCTCTAATTTCCTGTTTAATGCCATTCTCAACATCACTGCAGTTTGGAGGTTTATATTTGACACCTGCTAATGTCTTTTGTCCCATGGTATTTCTCAACTTTTATCCAGACAGGCTCCACATTGTTAGAGCTAATATCCTTTCTCGCTATTGTTAATTTTCCTCTTTAAACAGCAATGCCACTCTGCCACCTTTTTCCTTTTTTGCCTGTCCTTCCTAAATGCTGAATATCCTGGGATATCCTTGGTCACCCTGCAGCCATGTCTCTAATTCCATTTATATCATACCTGTTTATATCTATCTGCGTGATTAGTTCATTCACTTTATTGCAAATGCTCCATACGTTAAAGCACAAGCCTTTAAGTTTGCCCTTTTTATCAATGCTTGTCTCCTACTTATTTTTCTCAATAGCCCTATTTTTGAATCTTGTCCTTGGTTTCTCAGTCTATCACTACTTATTCCATCTTCTACCTTTTTTCCTTGCCTCCTCCTTCTGACTCCTTTACATAGGTTCCCACCCTCTTGGCATATTAGTTTAAAAGTTCCCCCGAGGACATCAGTCCCAGTCCTGGCCAGGTGTAATCCGTCTAATTCATATAGGTCCCACCTCCCTCAGAACCAGTCCCAATGCCCCCAGAATCTGAAACCATCCCCCGATACCAACTTTGCAGCCACATTTTCAACTAGTATATCCTGTCACTTCTCCTCTGACTAGCATGTGACACCAGTAGTAATCCTGAGATCACAACTTTTTTGAGGTCCAATTTCTTAACTTTGAGGTCTGATTTCTTAACACTACCCTCAACACTTATCTGTTCCTGTTCCCAGACAGTGAGTTTCTCTTCAATCATTCAATCACTTGTTTGAAACATTTGTTTGTGGGAACCAGCCTGAATGACACTAAGGTATCTTCAGGGAGGAGGGTTTTGTATATTCTGATTCTGGGGTGTCATGGTTGTGTGCAACTGCACTTGTGCATCTCTTGTCTCTTTTTTCCATTCTTAACAAGAGGAGATCACTTGTGACTCTCATTGGCTTCAATATTCTGTCCTCCTGAATGGCAGGAGAATTTTAGCTGATAAGGGAATGGGGAAGAGAAGTTGAGAAAGCTCCTTAAACAAAAAGGAGGGGTTTATGGAGATTGCCTGTGTTTTCCAACAGCAGCAATATTTCAGTCAGAAATTGACTTCCGGATCACTGACAGAGAATTACTGAGGCAAAAACATTGAGAACTAGAGATGCCTTATTTTTGTGTGACTACCTTGTATGTACTTTAGCGCACCTTGCTCACATTTTAGCTTAACTACTTTGTCAAGTTATTGCAAAACCTGCGGAGTTTTATTCAATACAAACGAACTAAGTATGGTTTCTCACTTATTGACTTTCTTTTTCCTTCTGAAATATCCTATAGACAACTGAAGATGATCAAGAGTGGAAGACATATTTCCGGAACTTGCCGGAATCTTTGACTTCATTACTAGTACTGCTGACAACAGCTAATAACCCTGATGGTAAGTGTTTATTTGGTATTCCTCCCACTGACTTTTTTTTCATGCTATCTGACACGTAGATTGAGTTCACACAAGAATAAAATTGCATTGAAAGAAGTTTAATATCCTATCTGAATGAAGTAAAGGTAATGAAATAATAATGATGTATCTTTAAAATGTAGCTTTTTGTTTCATAAAATGCTTAATAGTTTTATTTGTATTTGATATAATTCACTTCCTATTTTTGTTATCAGCAGCTCTAACTTCATTCTTTGCTTCAACAACAGATTTAGGGAAAGGAGTGGGCTATCCATCCCCTTGAACCTGTTTCACAGTTTACTTACCTGATGGTCATCAGGTGACCTGAAACCTTGATATCTTAACTTTTGATGTCATAATTTAAAAAAAAACTCTTGATGAACTTGCTCAGTCCAGTTTAACAATCATGTGGGGAGTTCAAAATTTCTCCTACCCATCTTGTTTGTGTGTATTTTTTTAACCCTTTGCCTTGCAAAGGCCACTACAAGCTTCACAAGCTTCAAAATCTCCCCTCCCCTGACTGCATCCCAAAACCAGCCCAGCTTGTCCCTTCCTCCCACCTCAAGCCCCACCCCCATATCATGCCTCCTTGACCTGTCTGTCCTCCCTGGACTGACCTATCCCCTCCCTAACTCCCCATCTACACTCTCCTCTTACTGGCTCCAACCATTTCTCTTTGACCTGCCTGTCTCCTCTCCACCTATCTTCTCCTTTATCCATCTTCTATCTGCCTCCCCCCTCTCTCTATTTATTTCAGAATCCATTCCCCTCCCCCATTTCTGAAGAAGGGTCTAGGCCCGAAACGTCAGCTTTCCTGCTCCTCTGCTGCTTGGCCTGCTGTGTTCATCCAGCTCTACACCTTGTTATCTCAGACTCCAGGAATAGTGTTGGGCATGATGTAGTTGTGACTCGCTTATCATTTTTAAAGGGTTCCTTGGTCTTTCCTGACAAAGCAAATATCCTGGCCTTGATCTTTTAAGGCTCAGGGCTTGTACCTGGATTAAAGGGGCAAGATTGTGTGCAGTTGCAACCTGGAAGGAAGTGTTCTCCTGCAGTTGGTGTGAGAATGTAACGGTAATGGTTTGTTCTTTATTGGTGTACGCTCATTCTCAAGATTAAGAAGCATAAGAATTTTGAAATATTTGACCAAAATAGCATCAGAACTGCAATACTTCGTCTGGATGTTGTTTAACAGTGTCACCAGTGCCATTCTTGGATAATTTAAAAGTTTGCTTTTCATATTCTGGGTATCTGGCACTTGAAATTAAAGGTACACCATTTTTCTTGCTTGACTACTCACTCACTCACCCTCTGTTTTCTCTTTTTCCTCTGACAGTGATGATCCCAGCCTATTCACGCAATCGAGCCTATTCATTGTTCTTCATTACCTTCAGTCTTATTGGTAAGACATCTCCTTTTTTCCTTTTTGTACAGACACAGCTTCCACAACTTTTCTGTTCAGGTTAAAAGTCTTAAAACAACATTGAGCAGGTAGTGCACAGACTGTATAACAATCATTTTTGATTGTGGATTGAATTGGGAAAAGGATGGTTTTATGACAAAGGATTGAAGAAGGAATTTCCTGTACTTTTTTTTTAGAAAACAAGTTACTGAAATTTGTTGTGGATGGTGTTTGGACTGCTGCTTTGTTCAAACAGTAGGGAGGATTTTTGTACACTGCCCTGCTTGACTTTGGGGGTATTGGTGACAGTCTGTACAAAGTGAGATGTGCTGTCAACAAGTGGATGCTAAATTTGTGGAGTTGACCAGTTCTGCGTACCAACAGCCATCCGCCTGACAAATTACCTGGCTCCTGGGTAGTTCAACAGTGCAGATTAGTCTTCCTCCAGTAAAATAGTAAAAATCTGATGAAAGCCAGTTTTATTCAACCAATAGCTATAAGCTGTTGCTTTTAACCAATAAATCAGAGACTTTGTAATTTTGTGAATCAGTTGCTCTGTGCCTCCCATGAAGTGAGCAAATCTGGAGGATAACATCAGAACAGAGGTGTGGGGAAACAAAAAAATGCTGAGGTGACATTGAGACCTCTACCAGTTGACCTGAAGGCCTAACAGTTATCCTGAATAGGAAGAGCATTTTTTTCTGCCTTTGTCTTCTCTTTCCATCCACCACCACGCCGCCCCCCCCCCCCACCCCACCCATTCCTTTGTGGGTTAATTACCAGAGCCTTGAGCGCCTCTAGCGTTGCTTTTCTTTTGAGCTTTGCATACTTCCCACCAGTCCTTAGAAAACCAATCATATTGTCTACATGTGGCTCCAGACTCATTGCAATGTGTTGACTCTAACAGCTATTGGGCATTTGGGTTTGGGCAACAAGTGCCAGCCTGGGCAACAAGTGCCAGCCTAGCCAACAATGTCCACATCCCATGAATTAATAGAAGGAAAAGATCTTGGCAAGATGGATGCTTCTTTATGATCTGCATATTGTTAGCAATTTGAAGTGGATTCTGCAACACTTATTTGTGGAACGATCCTTTCATATGAAACATGAAGCTAATTGCTCTTTAAAATAGCTAGAAAATTGGAGCAGGAGTAAGCCATTTGGTCCTTTTTTGAGTCTGCTTTGCTATTCAGTGTGATCACGGCAGACTACCTAACACCAGTGCCCTGTCTTCTCCCCATATCCTTTGAATGCTTTAGCCCTAAGAACTATGCCTAACTCATTATTGACAACAGTCAATGTTCTGGCCTTAACTATTTTCTGCAGAAGAGAATTCCACAGGCTCGCCACTCTCTGGGTGAAGAAATGTCTTGGTTTTAAATGGCCTACTTACTGGTCATTGGGAACATCCTTCCTATATTTACCCTGCCTAGCCCTGTTTGGTTTTTTATCGGTTTCTATAAATCCTCTTCTCTAAACTCAAGTGAATGTACTCCTAACTGATCCAGTCTCTCTCCTCTTGTGTTAATCCTGCCATTCCAAGAATCAGCCTTATGGTGGTAGATTCCACATTTAATTGCAAGTTGGTAGCTTCTAAAAGTCTATGAAATCTGTTCTTTCTTGTAACTCAATACACTGAATTTCTGTATCCTTCAGGAACATACTTGTTAATGAATTTATTGACGGCTATAATATACAACCAATTTCGTGGCTATTTACTGGTAAGTAATCCTGTTTTGGACTCTTTAAAAATGATTGTGTTTAGGTGAATTTACACAGCAATGTCAACATGTTTGATTTTTTGCATGTCAGTGATAAGGCACCAACTCTGGTTTAACGTTTAGGGTCCGGGTCAGTTCTGAGTAAGGGTCACTGGACCCGAAACGTTAACTCTTATTCTTTATTTCTTCAGATGCCTTCAGACCTGCTGAGCTTTTCCAGCAACTTTGTTTTTGTTCCTGATTTACAGCATTTGCAGTTCTTGGTTTTTTAACCACCTCTAGTTTATCTATTTTCACCATTCACTTTTAGCATTCTGCATCCAGAAATGGGTACATATACTGGGGTGTGTATAAATGATTCCTTTTAATTTTGAAGGATGGAGGGAAAACTTGATTTTAAGAATTTTTTTTATTTTCATCCTCCACTTTTTGGAGGACCATTCTGAACTATTATTTACTTTGCTGAGTGTTAATGTTTGTAGTTTTAAGACATTAAATTGGCTTGATCACTTTTTATTGATGGCATCTTTTGACTCTACCAGTGCATAGCCCATGTTTTCCCCTGTTTTTGACTAATTCTTCCTACGATTTATTGTGTGACATTTTTATACAGGTGCTTAGCATTTTCAGATGAAAGATTTGTTACATGGTATTGCATTTTAGATGTAATGTTAGAACATTGATGTAAGTAACGACGTGAAGATATTGTATGTTGTGTAGATTTTGAAAAGGCATTGATAAAAGAATTGCATGTTCTGTTTGGTAAATGCTTTTGAACACTGAATCAACTCTTAGCAATATGTCACCATCTTTTATAAGTGTTAGGGGCATCTTGTTTTCAACAAACAATGCAGAGGACTTCTTTTATCTTAAAGAGAAAGATTTCTCACAGTAGAATTATTTGCTTGTGTAAAATATTCAACTTGTTGCCAACATTTCAAATTGCAATGTATCACCCCTGCACAACTCCTAAACCAAATTCTGTGCTCTTATGAATTTTATGCAACATTTAATAAACAGAACCTGTGATAAAATTAAATTCACTTCTGGCTATATTGAACTGTACAACTTGAGATGCTAGTGCCTGAGATTCTCTAGTAGTTATTGAGAACCAACCTTTTTCAAATAGGTTTACTGGAGCTTGAGAATTTTGTATAACTGCTTCCAGCACGAAAAGGAACTCTTAATTTACTATGTATCCAATCAGATTTCTCTCAAATTTGTTTTTTGCTACTTAAATTTAACAACTCCAGCAGTAGTTGAGGAAAAGTCAGCTAAGGCAGAATCTTTATCCTAGGTTGTTGAAAATTTCAAAAGCAAAGACTGCTCCTAGATAAAGATGAATAGTATAAGCTTTCCCCAGGCATCTTGTGCTCACTGACCTGTGTTTAGCTCCTGATCAATTTAAGGTCTTAATCCTTTTTTTCACATCTTTGTGGTAATACCTCTGTCTCTGGTTTCCCTTTAAATTTTCTGAAGACCTCTGGCCTCTAATTTTGGCCTAAACAAATAATAGTAATAAAACTTGTGTTTAGCTCAAACTTCTTGCTTTTGGTTGAAGCATATGTATTTTTTCCAAATGGATTGGTCATTCTGAGCTACTAACTTGTCTTTGAATGCAAGGGCTTGTGTGAAATTGGGGTTGCCAAGTTATTCTGAAAATTGACGGCATGAAAAGTTTTTTGACTTATTCAGCTGGAATGTAATCTTACAGGTCCAGTAACCGATCTGTTGTCTGTTCACTGTGCAGCACCTTGCTATTTTCCCTGGAGTGTGGTTAGGCATGATGACTTGTGCTGATGAATACTAATATCAATGCACATTGTATTCCATCACCTATCAATTTAATTTTGTAAAACTCCTGAATACTTAACACTTTTGTTGTCCTCCTCCTGTCACTGACATGCTGCTTGATGTATTCCAATGACCGAAATGCTATACTAGCAGTACGTGGAGTCTTAACTTTAATCCAGTTCCTGTTGGCAGTTGAACTACTGCATTTGACAGGTAAATCTCTGCTTGAGTGGCATCCAAGTTCTGAGATGAGCCTGCTTAAGTGGTTTCTTACCCTTCACACATGGAAGTATGATCCCAGGTTCTCAGGGAATCCGATCTTATCTCATCTGGGTCCTCTCAGTCCAAGATACTGTTAATGTGGTCCAGTGCATGCTTTTTCCCGTAGCTACCTCAGTCCCATTGTATGCCTGGCATTCACTTTAATAGTATCTTGCTATGGGTGTATCAATTTCCTTAGTGAATGAAGTCAAGTGTTGCTGCCCCAATTTGTTTTGTCCATGATATTTTGTGCTATTCTGTGAGGATTCTACAGTTTGAAAACCACTGCTTTTGTGCAACAGTCTACTGGTGATAGTTTCAAATGAAAAAGTGCTGGAGTAACTCTGGTTTGCCAGTGAAACAGTTCATGTTTTGAAAGCCAGGAAAAGTCCTGTTTGGAATTCCACTGTGGAGTTACTGTTTCTCTCTCCACAGATACTACCAGACCTGCTGAGTTTCTTGAATGTCATGTCTTTTGATACTTCTGATCTCCAGCATCCAGAGTATTTTGCTTTCAATTTGGTGGTGGTTCCAAATTTAGTGAATTAACAAATTGTTTGATAACTAGATACATGCTATGGTAGACTATCTGCCATCCACTCCAGCATGAACTGCTTCAGCTCTGGGAATAGCTCAGATTTGAAGACACAGCTTGCACTATCTTAAGTCACTCACTGGAGTTGGTGTCGAGCCTCTTTTTTTTTTTTGAACAGAATTGCTGTATTTGTAAGACTGTTGTGTGCTCTGGGCCCTCATAATTTTGCCAGAATCTCACCCAGAAAGTTGTCTCTAATCCCCGATTAGCATCCTTGAGGGACTTGCCTGCACAAATATCACCTTTCAAAAGGTAAGAAGATGTAAAGGGGGTGGATACGTCAGTGTTCCAAACTTTTTGGCAAACAGCTGGGGGTTTTTTATGGTCCATGTATTCTGCAGCTTCCAAGAGGGACCATCTCCTAAAGCCAAAGAAAACAATGGAATAAAAACAAAGTTGTAAAATTGGTTGGGTGCATTCTGGAGGTGGGAATCTCCTGGTTTGTCTTGACTCAGTATGTCTGACTTGGAGGAAAGTAGAATTTTCACATTCAGATTACTTAATCTGAACCATCAACATCTGTTCTCCCCCACCACTCCAAATCACAAAAACACAAATTGCTGGAAAAGTTCAGCAGGTCTGGCAGCATTTGTGAAGAGATATCGGATAACATTTTGGGTCCAGT